AAAATAGGCAATATTTTACAGTCAAATACTTTGCATGCAAGATCAGGCTGCAGTCCCCCCAACCTCATAATGTTTTTTTCCAAACAAAATAGTGCTTTTCTAGCTCGCGCCGAGATTTGATAAATCGATACGTACAACATCACTTCGTACATATCTTCTATTTCCGGAAAAGTGTTATATAATCTAAGAAATAATTTTCGACATCGATGGCGGTTATCATACATTATAGTCATAAACACAATCAGATGTTAGATGTAACATTGATTATTTAAATAAATCTAGAACAATCGACATGAAAGTATAATTGTTATATACAGCTGCAGCAATTAAAAAAAATAGTGAAGCCCACTGAATATTTAGTATTACATTGTGTGGATATTTATGGTTCTAATTTCAATATAAACCACGAGGGGTGCTAAAACTTGCTAGGCGGCCTTTCATGCTTACATGATAGAGGTACTGGACCCAAATATTACACACTTTAAATACTCCCAAATAGACCATCCAGCCGGACACCAAGGTGCCCTCCTCTCCATTCCCTATGTTACCTGTTATTCACTAACAGCTACAGGAGATGAACGTATTACGTAGTTCCTATGGAATATCATAAATAACATTGGAAGTAACAACATGTATTTTCTCTTAGGTAGGACATACGCCCATATCGTTGAAACGCAAAGTGTACCTGATTTCCTATCAATATGGTGATATATTTCCAAATATATTTTTTATGAATCGCTCAGCAACAGCATAATAGTAAATTAGTGTTAATCTTATAAAACTGTCATTATACCTTTATAAACGGATTAAAAACATCTTGTGCAATATGCCAAGACGTCGATATCACTCATATTGCAATTGTAGTCCAAGCTTATTTGCTTCTGCTGTAATTTTCTTGTCAAAATATTCGTTTTGTGCCACAGTGAAATGATATTTCCAGTCACCAACCTCGCCTTTACGCAGAAACTTCATATTTTCGCGCGATGTTCCTTCATCCCGAATAGCTAGTGTTTGTACATCGGTCTGTGAAGCCCTCATGGCATCTAAGCTGCATTGAGACACCACGTGGTCCAACATATCATCAGAGAGAGGACGCTCAAGAAAATCGGCCACTTTAACCAATACAGACTTCAAATCTCGTTTCATATCTTCAAATGTCACGTGTAATACGTTGTCTTCCAAGCCAAACTGATTCCATCCCCAGACGTTATCCAACCATGGTCCGAAGGGCACCTGTCCTTCAACGAATGCCTTGACCCACTCCTCCCAGGTCAGATGCATCTCGATGAATTGAAGCGATTGAAAAAACTTGAAGGATGACACACATACATCTTTAGGATTTCGTGTTACATGGATTATTTTGCATTTTCTGTTGCCTTTCCTCCATGATGTATGGAAAAACTGCTGGGGTACGTGACAAATCATCAAACGAGGTGACTGCATTTCATGAAATGTACTCTTCACTGCCTTCACCATACTGCCATATAAACCTGGGACTGAGTCTGTTTTCTCAAACCAAACCCCGGGCCGTGCAACTCGGTCTACTGGTTTCAGCTTCCAATTGAGGTTGTCGTACATCTGTGACACAGCGTGCAACATCCATAGCGTGCCTGATTTGGGAAACGTTTGTATGATGACGTCATCATCTCGAATGTCCCATCGGTCGATTCGTCTCTCTTTCACTGCATCTATGTCATGAAATCTGTCTATAAAATAACACCCATCGTGCTCAAATACAGGCCAGTTGGTATGCGCCATTTCGATCTACTTCACCCGCTGAATGCGTATTCAAACACGTCGTATTTTGAAATGACCTATCGGAATTAACCTGGAGTGCATTTATGTTAAGGCAGTATTTTGGTATTTTGGTACCCTCAAAAGTTAAAACCGATGTTATTTCGCATTTTGATAATATTTTTTTGCACAAATCAATAAAACTAAAAATTCTAAATAATTATGGACAGTTTGTATATAATTTGAAGTAATTTTTCATGTTTAATTTATCTTTTCTTTTTTTTTGTGCATCTTGTCCGATCAAATTGTCATCTTTTTGACACATTCATACTAACTTAGGAAGGTATTAAAACCAGCCGTCCTGGCAGCCATAGTTTTAACGGTGCTCAACCATGGATTTTTTCATTGCTCAATATTATTAATTTTTGAACACTTTGGTGTTAGGATTATGAACACTGGCTTTGTGTTCGGGGAACTGATGAGGAATGCGTGCTCAGTATGTTTGACTAGTGTCAGGCATGACCATGCTATTTTGAACTGTTTCATTTATAAAAAAAAAAAAAAAAAAAACAAATATATCGATAATATTCCAAATTATATAAAATCGCGTTTGTTCAAAAGACCTCACACTAAAAACTATTTGTGACCTCGCTCTAGCAGAAAAGGAATTAACCTAAAGCGCATTATAGTATTTTTAATAATTGTCGACATCGATGGAGGTTATCATACATTATAGTCACTATAATTATAAACACAATCTGATGAGTTAGATGTGACATTGATATTTTAAATAAATCTAGAATAATCGACATAACAGTATAATTGTTATTCACAGCTGTAGCAAGGTGTTACTCACAGTAGTAGTGGTTCAATACCAGGAAAAAAATAGTGAAGCCCGCTGAATATTTATTATTACATTGTGTGGATATTTATGGGATCGGCGGTGCTAAAACTCGCTTGGCGGCCTTTTCATGCTTACATGATAGCGGCACTGGACCCAAATATTACACACTTTAAATACTCCCAAATAGACCATTCATCACCACCTAATTACCATCCAGCCAGACACCAAGGTGCCCTCCTTTCAATTCCCTTCTCTAATTACATTTACTTGCATCTCTGTTAAATTCCTAGGCATGGCAAATGAACATTTTTTTGTATTTTTTGGATGGCATTACCGTGAAGTGATAAATCGTATTTTGGGGGGAATTTGCGTGAATAAATTATTTGTTTAATAGGGAAACGTCATAAAATACACGTAAGTAAAAAATACAGGTAATATTAGAATAATGCTTGCATGCAAATATTTCGAGGTTAAAATAATTTTTCGCGTGATGGTGTACAAAATAAAATTTAAAAAAATATTATAAAACCGAGGCACATATAAGAGAGAATAGTCATAATAAAAATATTATTTGCATGCAAATAATGTGTTATTTTGTCTTCCAATGAGTGAAGTAGTCTATACTTTTTATTAATTCTTTCTTTTCACACCAGAATCACAGTCGCTTATTATCTGACAAAAGAATATAAAATTGATGGTTACATAAATAAGATGTGAGTTATATATAAATCACCTAGTAAAATTGTATAGAAAAAATATTTGTCATAAAGAGATAGATTGAGTTCCGTGGAGTTCTTGATATATCTGTTCACATAAATGTATATCGTGCATGAAAGAGTCAACTACGGAGTACGTGTGGTGCCCCAACATCTGACAGAACGTATTGGCCACTGTTGAATACGTTGCTTAAAGTATACAATAATTGTAGATGTATCAATGTGTCTTTCGAGAAATTTCTTAAATTCCACATAACTGGGTGGACTCTCGTATGAGCAAAAGTATTCACCGTGATAAGTGTTTTTTCAGATGGAATGCGACCAGATGCGTTTCACCTCTGCTACTGTCATCTGTTTGATAAGAATGCTTTGAGATTCTCTGACAGTCTCAACTTAGGCAGTTGGTCTCCAGCATATGAACACATTTCTCGTATATGGATTAAGCAACAAAATCCAATCCAGTTGACTCGTGTTCATCGCAGCTAGAAATCGGTCAATACATTTCTGTCGCTTTCAATTTCCATAATGTTGTTGTATTCCATATAAATCAAAATGAATA